TTTTTTTTTTTTTTTTTTTTTTTTTTTTTTTGTTTTTACAGCTCACTGATAATAATTTGATTTTATTTTAATACTAAATTGATGTCAAAAATAACTATTATAAAAAAAAAAAGCTAATTTATACCTCTTCGTTACATTCGATTACATCCAATCGTGTTTTATTTTTATGCTCTTCCATACGTACATACGTTCGACACCAATAGATACCTTCATCTTGTTTTTGTAATTTTTTTATACCCAAATAACCGATCACCAAATCACCGTATTCCAAATGTGGAGTTATAGTAAATTCTGTAAAGAAAAAAAAAAAAACCTATTCAGTAGATTAGCAGTGAACAGTTCTGTTAAAAGTTCTGTTGACATAAAATTACTTATCTCAGAACAACAGTAGGCAGAATTTTTGCCAAATAAACAGTTGAATTATCATTGGCAACTATGGTTTGCAACGATCGTTTACAATTTGCTGTCAATTCTTTACACTCATCACTCTGCTTTTGAGCACATTAAAAAACTACAGAGCTGTTTGCACAAGTCAAAATATTTACCTTAATAATGTAATAATTATCTTATGTTTTGTCTTACAAAGAAGTATTTCTTAAAAGTATAAGAAAAAAGGAAAAAACAAATAGCTGTCAAATCTGTACCAAAAAAAAAGGTTTTTTTTTTTTTTTTCACTTACTATCATTATCGGCAATATCGTTGATGCCAGTTTCAGTTTCCTTAGACCAAGTGATGACAGCAAATTTGTTCTTAAATGAACACGATATGGACATTTCTGCACCGATACAGGCTGTTAAATTTGATTTCAGTATAACATCGTTGATTGCAACTGCAAAATTTTTGTACATATTAACAAAATTAATTAATAAATATAAAGCATTTTTTTTTTTTTTTTTAAATTGCTGTAATCAATTAAATTAATAAAAATATTGCAACTTTTTTTTTTTGTATTTTTAATTTAATAATTCCTTCTCTTCTATTTTTTTTCAACAAATGATAAACTATGAGTACAGTATTGAAAACAACGGGCCACAGTCCATAGTGTTCCAAATTCAAAACAGTGATACAAAGAACAAAAAAAAAATTTGGTCTTAAAATATTTCCATTTCTTTTTTTATCTGTATTACT